CCTATCAACCTTGGTTATAAAACTTTATTTTTAATTCTCTAAAGTTAGGATTAAATCATGGCCACAGATATTTTTGTGGAGACTATAAATACCCACAAATTGTTATGTAAATAGATTCGTGGATGAATAAAATTGAGACGTTTTTCTTAGAAATCCAAGTGTCATCTTTGTCATTTCTAAGTTTCAAGCAATTCTTGTGGTAGAATTGCATATGAGTCATTCAATCCACCCTAAATCTAAGTTCGATTGCGGGGTGACTCAATTTAGAACAATATTTCAAATCTTGCTTTTAAATCTTCGATAGTAAGAAGTAATCTAATTCTAGTATTATCTCTTCGTCGATCCAAATTTTATATAAAGAGATGACAATTCTTCATCAAAATTTGGATCTTTGAATTCTAAATTATTACAAAATTCAATTAATTGTTTTTAAGAAAAATAAAAAAAGATCTTATAGTCTTTAATTAGTATCATTCTATTAATTATTTTTAAATAAATTGAATTCTATCAATTAAACTATAATGGATTCTTGTGCTAAATAAAAAATTAGAAAGTGTATTTTTCTATTTATAGTGATTTATTTCTTTAATTCAAGAATTTTTTTTTTATATGATTGAGAGTGGAATCACCATGTTATTTTTTAATTAAAATTTTAATGTTTGATTTTGGATGGATCACTCTATCATATATAAATGGAGATTCGTACATAATTTTATATTATTTTAATTAGATTCTAATTAATTATATGATAATGACTACTTTGGATTCCACTCAGTTAAACCTTATCTTTATCACGTATATTATTTTAATTAATGACTCCATAATATTAATATATTCAAGTTTAGATATGATCCGTGTTCAAGTTAATCATTTTGTAAATTAATGAATGGAAACATGATATCAGTTAAGTTTTAAGATTTGAGTCACGATGTGTATCATGGAGCCATGATATTTGGTTGTAGTATATCGAGTTATACGAGTTTTGGTTAAGGAATGTATATCACTTTTGAATGATATCTAGTTGTAGTAGCTTCTTGATTGGTCTTGTTGGGTTATATGAGTTTTGGTTAAAGACTATTGATTGAACGTGCTTAGTTTTATAAACACTTGATACTCCTTCTCGACACTAAATTAAGATATTTTTTCGAGATCCCAAATCAAATAATCTCATTTTTCTTCAAGATCCCATAATTTCTTTTAAAAATAATGTCACGCCATGTATATAGTAGCTGAACTAGAGACTATAAGTCAAACCGTTATATCTCATTTCTTAGCCAAATACGTATCTTAACCAGATGAACTGTACTCAAATTTGTAAAATTTATAATAAGTTCAATCATAAAACTTAACGGGATTTATTGATGCGACAACCATCACAATCTCACTTATTTCAAAACTTGAAGAATCACAAAATAAAATAAAACATGATGAATGAGACAAGAAACGATTAATTTAACTTCGTATATTATTAAGCAACACTTGTAAACACAACAACATAATAATATTACACGATGTTTTTAATTTTCCAGAAACACACAAAAAAAAAAAAAAAAATGAGGCATCAGTGTTCATCTTGAGCTCAAGATCGAACTCTCCACATTACTTATAGCTTCTTCGTTCGTAGAGAAAGAAAAAATTTATTAGACACAAAATGTTTTATTTTCTTTCGATAATACTATGATTGAATGTATTTAGTGATGGTGTTTGGGATCTGGTCCTCCAGGAACAATTCTTTCTGAATTAACGAGAGACCTCCGATCTACCTTAAGCACATCAAACCTAAATTTCTTCGAATGACAATGGCTGCAGCTTGCATCTTTCTGTTCTTGAATATGAAGAACACGTCCTTCTGATATCATACAAACACACCAAATTAGAAGAACAAACACCAACACACGACCAGACATGGAAGCCGCCGCCATGGAAAATGTTTGGATTGGATGCCAAATTCTTGAGATGATGGGAACTTGTTCATATCATATCATATATATATATATATATATATATATATATATATATATATGTATATACATATTTATATGATATGAGGAATTATTTAAATTTTGGTTATGGGAATTGGTTTTTTTTTTTTTTTAAACATTTTAGTGGGAATAATATGTGGAATGAAATAATGTTTGAAAGGCCCATTTGGCTTTAGTGTTTGTCTTATCTCGTTTTGATCGTTGATTAAATAAAGTTATTGTTTTAGAAAAGGTATCCATCACTGCTATAAAGGCTGATTCTTCGATTCTCCACTTCATACTTATTCAATTGTAATATATAATATACATAGTACCGGTCAATCTTATTTGAATTTTTCTTTCAACGTCACAATGTGAGTTTTGTTGTAAATATTTGTTTTGAAAAGGTGAGTTGTATGCTACTACATAGTGAACGAGATTCCACCCACGAATCGTATGCTACTATGTAGTAAATGAGATTCCACCCATGAATCATATGTTGCTACGTAGTGAATGAGATTTCACCCACAAATTGTATGTTGCTATGTAGTAAATGAGATTCTACCCATGAATCGTATGCGGCTAGGTAGTGAACGAGATTTCACCCACGAATCGTATGCTGCTATATAGTGAAAAAGATTTCACCCACGAATCGTATGCTGCTACGTAGTGAAAGAGGTTCCACCCATGAATCGTATGCTGCTACATAGTGAAAGAGATTCCACCCACGAATTGTATGTTGTTATGTAGCGAACGAGATTCCACCCACGAACTGTATGCTGCTATGTAGTGAACGAGGTTCCACCAACGAATCATATGCTATTACGTAGTGAACGAGATTTTACCCGCGAATCGGTTCTTGTTGATTAAGCTCCTACGACTTATCCACGATTTTGAAGCTATACCGAACTATTAATTGATAAATACATTTTATTAAAAGGTCAGATGATTGAATCTTTGTGTCCGATAAAATTCAATATACAATATAAAAATATATAAATGAGGAGAATAGAATAGGATGGGCAGTTGTCAGTGTATCAGCCGCAAAGGCAAAGCAAGTGGAAAAGCAAGTGGAAAATGCAACTTTTTTGAATCAATTTAATTAATACTTTAATTGGGTTTTAATGCTTTCTAATTTTAATTATGTTTTAAATATAATATCTTAAAAGTCAAAGTTATTATAATTTAGAAACGCCAAAAAAATATAATATTTTATCATTAAAGAAAAAAATGTAATGCTTTGGCGGCTGCTTAGACTTTAAAAAAATTAGAATATTCTAATTCCTTTTTAATTAATTAATTAATTAATAATTGTCTGGAAAACAATAATAATATAATTATGATTCAAAGACAAAGCTTTTCAAGAATGATATAATGGAATGGGCGTGGCTCCACGTTTATTTGTAATGATTGATCATCTCATTTCTTCCCTTTTTTTTTTTTTTTGTCTTTTTAAAATATTTTTGTTCAATTATGATTATGAAATATTATAAGAAATTACGTTTTAATCCATGAAGTATAACGTTTTATATTTACGTTTGAAATCATAATTTGGAATTCGAATTTGGACTCTCATGGCTCTGACATTTCTTGGGACAAGACCATGTTATCTACTTGTCTTCAAGAGCTTCTAAGAGTGAATATTATCCTCACAAACTAATAGATGTTTCCTTGGTGGCTTAATCATAAAAACTCTAAAATCAAACGTGCCTAGCTCAGAGCATACAACTAAGAACAATCGTAAACCATAGGATGTGAATTGAGGACGAACCAAGGTGGAAGCTTATGGACATGTGACGCCTAGGTAAAGGAGGAGAAGTACGTGAATGAATTGAGATTACATCCAAATAAGAATCACCCTAAGAATATGAAGTTAGGATTAATAAATGCTTAAAGAAATACAAAATTACTACCTATATTAGTAAGGTGTATCTTCATTTTCGGTGATTCAATCATATGAACTCAAAGAATAAACATAATCTTACGTAGAGTGACCTCCAAGATATGTACCTGTGAAGCATGTTAATGAGAACAAAACATGTAACAGCCCAAACCCACCGCTAGCGGATATTGTCCGCTTTGGCTCGTTGCGTATTGCTGTCAACCTCATGGTTTTAAAATGCGTCTACTAGGAGAGGTTTTCACACCCTTGAATACTTTGTTTTCCTCCCTAACTGTGGGATCTCACAAAACATGTTAAAAGTACATGTGGTGTGAAGGTACCTTTTCCTCTTAGAAGTAAGATAAGTCAAGTATATAATGTGGTCAAAACCTAGTCAGAATCCTAGACATTGAGCGTTAATGAACCATGATTTTATCCTAGATAAGTCGAGTATCCTAATAAATTCTGTGTTTTGTAGGCATGAGCAATGATTATACTATTTCATTCCTCTCCAGTAGAATTGAACACAATAATATCAATGAAGACAGCCATTTCAAAGATTTCACATTGGTTGAGAGTTGTTCCTCCACATGTTTAAGGTTTCCAGCTAATTGATCTAAAGAGCAAAGATTTTAATACTACTTTTTGATGGAAAAGTAACAAGAGAGATGAAATATTGTTTTCCTACGCTGCATATTCAAGTGGTTTGCCTATACAGGCATCAGGACCTGGTTGGTCTGTTAAAAGCAGAAGACTATAGTACCATATTAATTAAACTTAGATAAAGTTTGTCTTACTTACCATCGTCCCATTCTCGGGTGAGATTCTTCCGAGTCAAGAAGCCACTTATTGGATAGTGTGTGTAACAACCAATGACTGTGTTCCAATCTCCTCAAATAATTTCCAAGGATTCTGGTCACCTAGTATTGCCTGATGATCAATCAAATAGTCGGTTGATGGGATAGTTTTGTCTGACTAGTTTCGTCGAGAGAGTATCATAAGACACTACCATGGTAGATGTCTAGTCAAAGTTATTATAACAGCCCAAGCCCACCACTAACAAATTGTCCTCTTTGAGCTTTCTCTTTCGAGCTTCCCTTCAAGGTTTTTAAAACGTATATGTTAGGAAGAGGTTTCCACACCCTTATAAAGGGTGTATCGTTCTCCTTCTCAACTGATGTGGAATCTCACAGTTATTAGAACTGATGCTTCCAAACTAATTGGTGGTTCCAATGTCCGGTCTCCTCCTCTGATATCAATAGGAAGCTTAACTACGTAGTGAACAAGATTCCACACACGAATCGTACGTTGATTTACTTCTTTGGTGGTGAGAAGTATCCCTCATCATCAAGAATAACACGACAATTCTTGTGTCCCCTTAACTTTAAAGCCATACCCCAAAAAGGAACGAGCCATCGATTTATCTTCCGTTTCAGCACAAAAAGAATTCTCATAACGTCCTTTCTCTTTTGCAGCCTTCCAGGAAGCTACGCCATAGAAGAGCATCAGGGGGGAAAGGCATGGAGCTAATAACCTTCTCGGCTTCCACAACGTATCCATGTATAGAAAGCAAGTCAACCAAACATTGATAATGATCCATTTCCGGTTCGACCCCATATTCCACTTTCATCTTGCTAAACAACTCCATTCCTTCTTTAACAAGCCCACCGTGCTTGCAAGCTGTAAGCACTGCACCAAGAGCTACCCCATCAGGTTTAAGCCCTGAAAGCTCCATTTCTGCAAACCTTTCCAACGCTTCATAAGCATGGCCATGTAATCCAAGAACAGAGATTAGAACAGTCCATGTGATTAAGTTTCTATCTTTCACATCATCAAATATTTTCAAAGCACATCCAATGCTTCCACATTTTCCATACATATGAATTAACAAATTGCACACAAATGTATCAAAACAACATGAACCAGTCTTTATCATAACGCCATGAACAGAACTACCCAGAGCAAGATTGCACAGTTTAGCACAAACACTAAGAAGGGAGATGAATGTATAATTATCAGGGTAGATTTGAAGTAGCAGCATGCATTTGAAAAGTGCTAGAACTTTGAAATAATTACCCGTTTTAGCACAAGATTCAAGCAGAATATTCCATGATATAATGCCAAGTACCTCAAGAGAGCGAAACAATTTCTGTGTCTCATCGTATAGGCCAACTCTGTTATAATATCCAGCAACAATGTTAGAAAGCACAACAGAAGGCTGAGAGATGTAAGCCAGGACATCAGATATGAGACCATGTTTGGCATAGGAAGAAGCAAGAGCGCTTGATACATAAGCATTCTCCTCATAGCCCATTCTTATAATCAAGCAATGAATTTGAAGTAATTCTGAAGCTAATAGGCTCTTCATAATGGCTGAAAATGTAAACTCGTTCGGTCTATAACTAAAATGGAGCATTTCTATCAGTAAATACATACAGGATGTGTAGCAATCGGTAGAGTAACCCGAAATCAAAGCATTCCAAGATACCAAATTCTTCTCAGTTATCTCATCAAAGCAACGGCGGGCTTCCTCCAACTTTTTGAACTTTGCATAAAAGTCAATCAAGGCGGTACCCACAAACACATCAGACTCGAAAGCAGAACGAATCGTTTTTGAGTGAAAATATTCTCCATAAATTGAACTTTCCATAGAACTACAAGAGTTGACACAGTTTACAAATGATGCCTGGGTAGGAATTAGTCCCTTTTCTATCATACTGTAAAAGTGTTCTAATGCTAATTCGGGCTTGTCAACTTTTGTCCCCGCGCTAATGATTGAATTATATGTCACAACATCACGCACAGGCACCTCTACAAACAGTTTCTCAGCTAAGTAAAAGCCTCCACATTGTAAATACATGTTCATCAGAGAATTTACAACCAAAACTTCATAATAAAACCCAATTTTAACCACAATACCATGCAATTGTTGCCCAAATTTCAAGTCTTCTTTGCGTGAAAAACAAGACAGAACACTCACAAAAGAGAACTTGGGCAGTTCAGTCTCACCATACATAAGCTCACAAAACAGAAGCTTACATTCATCCACAAGTTGGCTACGACCAAGTAATGACAGTATCGAATTCCATGTCACCAAACTTTTCCAACTCATATCTTCAAAAACCCGTAAAGCTTCCTCAAAGCATCCTTCCCTGCCATACAGCCCCAACAAGCCCGTTCCCACAATAGCATCAGCATCAAACACTCCATTTTTAACCGATAACCCCTGCAATTGAGCGCCCTGCCAAACATCCAACAAGTCTGCTGATAATAACCCACCAAATGTGAATTGGGTCGGCACAAAACCACAATCTCTCATCTCCGAAAACAAATCCCATGCTTCCTTCACAAACCCACGTCGGCTATAAGCACTAATTATCGTGTTATAAGACACAACATTTCGGTGGGGCATTTCGTCGAACAGGTTACGAGCCATCAATAACACCCCAAGAGAAGAATATTGAAATATGAGATTATTTTGCACAAATATAGCCTGGTTTGGAACAGGACCCATTGTAATTGTGAAAGCATGAAGGGGTCTTGTGGTTTTGATGGTAGGAGCCTTGGAGCATGCTCGAAGCAGCTGGAGGAGAAGGCGATGGCGCTTAATGATATCGCCATTGAAGCTCATATAGTTCTGTAAGGAACTTGCGCCGACCCTGTCGTCGATTCCTTACCTGCTATAATACATCAAAGAAATTCCTTACCTGCTATCAATTTCGCAAATGTCATCCAAAAAACACGAAAGAGCGACCTTGTCGTCGATTCAACGGAAGCAAATCCCTGTCCCGAGTGAAAAATTTAGATACTTTTGACTTTTGATTTGACTTTTGAGAGACTATGAGATGAAATCGAAGCAGCTTACTCAGAAAAAATCTGGAGGATTATTTTTTAACTCTTAACAATTCGTGCATTGAAGTGAGTAGTAACGAGTAGTGATCAAACCTATATTAAAAATAATGTTTTATAATTGGTTGTTGTAAGAATTTGATAACAAGTCCACAAAAACTCTTTGTCAAGGATGGAACCTGTCTAGCTGAGCTAAGATTGTAAAGCATATCTAAATACTAGAAACGAGTTTCTATGTGAGATGGACAAAGAATTTTTTATAGGAGCATGGAGTGGAAACCTTTCTTTGACAGACGCATTTTAAAACTATGAGACTAACGACGATTTGTAAAGGCTATTAGTAGTGGGTTTGAGATGTTATAAGTATAAGAGCTAGACACCGAGTAGTATGCTAGCGGGGACACTGGGCTCACATTGATTAGAGAGGGAAACGAAACAGTCCTTATAAGAGTATGAAAACTTCTTGACGTGTTTTAAAATCATAAGGCTAACGGTGATACGTAACGAGCTAAATCGGACAATATCTACTATCGATGGGTTTGGGCTGTTACAAATGGTATTAGAGCCGGACACCGGGCGATGTGCCAAAACGGACACTGGGCCCATATCGTTTGGAGAGGGGAACAAACCGTTCCTTATAAGGGTGTGGAAATCTCTCCCTATCATACCGTTTTAAGATCGTGAGGCTGACGACGGGCCAAAACGGACAATATTTACTAGTAGTAAGTTTGAGTGGTTACACGGTATTTATATTAGCTGTGAGTTTGGGCTGTTACACGATATTTATAGAATTCACCATTGTCTCATGAAAAACTCATACTCGACATAACAATGAGAATTCCGTCAGTGGCAATAGATGTCGTGAGTTGATTGAAAACCAAGTATAATATGCTTTAGTTGTCGTTTAGCCTCTGAGTCTCCTAGACTCGATAAGCTCAGCGAGACCGTTCATGGACGTTTACTTATTTTCTTTACACGGGATTCTCTGTTCTTAGCCGAATGACAACGAGGTCCCTATTTTAGAACATTTTATATGCATGGAAGGAGACAAACAAAAGGGCATGCGTAGTCCAAACACCAAATTCTTGTGGATTGTTGACAAAAGAAAAAGAGTGGAGTTTTGGTTCAAAATGAATGCAGCTGAGAGTGCCTTTCAATAAAGGTGAAAACAAAAGAATATAAAGTGTGCATGGCTATGCCTTTGGTGCAGGCTTGGCCTTGCCCAACACACAATAATAATAACATCACCACCTTTTTTACTCCATTTTTACCACTTTTTACCGCTACCTTCTTCCCCGCTGCAACCGAAAACAACTTTGTCTCGTGCTCGATTAAGGTTAAATTACAAATTTAGTCCATAGCAATTTGGTCTCTAGGATCGTGAAAGTTTTATTAAATTCACGGTTTAGGTTATTTGAATATAATTTAGAGTCTCAAAACTAGAAAATTTGAAACTTTACCCTTAACTATGAAACGATAACTCGACAAGTTATCGGTAAGTGTTACAGTCCAAGCCCACTGCTATCGAATATTGTCCTCTTTAGGCTTTTAAAACACATCTAGGGAGAAGTTTTCACACCCTTTAAAGAATGTTTCGTTCCCCTCGTCAACCGATGTGAGATCTCACAGTTAGGGATAACGACCTTCTACGTAGTCCACAACCCTCTACATATATGTTTCATATCAATGAAGATGGTATCTCTTATTCGTATACTCATAATCTTCTCGTCAGACAAACATGGGTGTAACAACACATGCGCGTGATTCACATTCGAAATTCAAATTCAGCACATTTGGAGATGGTGTCCCTTATTCATATACTCATGATCTTTCCGTCACACAAACGTAGGTATAACAACCCATACATAGAATTAAGATCAAGATTTGACACTTTTATGTCCCGACATTCCCCAACCGAATCCTTCTAGTATGTTTTGTTCTCACTTACATGCATCCTATGAAAATTCTTAAGATGTCAGTAGAATTGTTCCAAATAAAACACGCTTAATTATTAAGTTCTTATGATTGAGATACCAAAAAGGAAAGTACATCTTATTGGTATAGGTAGTGACTTTTAATTCTTTTATGTTTTTCTTAGTCATTTTATCTTCAGAATCGCTCTCATTTAAATGTGATCTCAGTTTATTCGTGTACTCCTTATTTACTCGAGTATCGTTGTAGGGCTCCAAAAATTAAAGTCGTTAAAAACTTCAACGTTCGAATGATGACGAGGAGAAAATTTGGTGTATTTTTATTGAAAGATACAAGCATGCGCCATGTCTTATCTAAAATCTATTGCTTCGTTTACTTTTTTATAATTTGAAAAGCAAAGCAAAGCAAAGCAAAACAAAAACAAAATATCCGACCACTCTTGAAGTTGATTGATGCGACTTCATGTACCTTGGTCGGTTTTCAACATTCTAGGATGAAACGAAGGGTTATTTTTCTGTCTTTTTAACTCTTTTTTTTTTATTAAATATATTTAATAGTCCTTTAATTATCCATTTTTAATCTTCTAATCATAGAATATATCAATATTACATATTTTTTTTAAGTTCATAAACGTATTAAAGAGCCTACGATAAAATTTAGCCTAAGTTTTTATGGTGATAGAAAAGTTTAAAAAAAATGTCAATATCATCATAATTATAGTCCATGGATTAAATTCTTTTGACTGTGAATTTGTCTTTCTACTTTGAAAAAAAGGTGAGACCAGATATATAGAAATTGTTTGGACGGTTCAACTTTAGCGTAACGTCTTATTTGAATCATCTTAGATCATGTGTATGTATGGTTGTTGTCAAACTTTCATGTATTTATTTATTTATTGACAAAGAAAGAGAGATTTTTTTATCATATCTCCTGACCTAATGATTGTAGTATTGCAATAGGAAGAAAGATTCATATAGAACTTAAGCACGAGAGAGTCTTCGGTTCAGTGTCATACTAGTGCAAGCACAAGAGGGTGTTAGGCTCAGTGTCAGTCTCTGAGATCCCACATCAATGGGTTTTAAAAAGGAGACTGAATCATTAGTTATAAGAGTATAGACGTGACATAATTAACAAATTGATTACCTAAATTGTTAATGGATCATATGTATATTTAATGAAAAAAATAATTAAAAAACTCTCGTAGTGTATTATTTATTATTTATTAAAAATTAATGGAATTTGGGTAAAAGAATTAAATTGGGTGGGTTTTATTTTAATGGTTCTAACTTATACAGTGGGATCAAGTATGAAATTAGATGAGAACAACAAACAAATAAAATCGTCCGTTTTTATCTGTTACGTATGGTTGTTAGCCTCCTTTAAGGGTTTAGCATCTTCGCTGGCACACCGCTTAGTGTCTGACTTTAATATCATTTATAACAGCTCATGTTCATTGCCAACGGATATTATCCGCTTTGGCTTAAAATATATATTTATTTATTTTCAAACATCTAATAAAAAATTTGGAATCCAATTTTATATATATTTTTAAAATATTGTATTTCAAATACTTAAAAATTATTTTAAAAAATAAAATAAATCGTAAGAAAAAATTTATATTTTAAAATTAACGATAAATTTATATGGGTATGTTTCAACCCAATCTAACGGGAAACTTGTAAACCAATTCGGTCCATAAAATTTTCATTTATTTGAACTCGGCTCAACTGAAACTGGGTTAGGTTGAGTTGATCGAGTTTTTTAAACATCTCTATGTTTAAGTGATTACAGTTGTTTAAGTTTTCGGGTTATCGAGTTTTTTTTTTTAACATTCTTATATTTAAGTGATTATAGCTAAAATACCGTCATTGAAGCTCTCGTGACTCAACCTAATTCTCGTTCATCCAACGAGTTCTATCTCAATTGGACGTGTGATAATTGTATTTGTTTTGAAGTAGTTGTCAATATGTATATGTAGATCATATGCTTTAGTCTTTGTCATGTGATGATGGGGATGGAGAGATGTAGTACAAGCACTATACAATAATTTTGAAATTTTCTCCTTATTGGTTTGTACCACGCTCAATCCCTTTCATCAACTTGCTCCCCCATGCTTACCCTAATAATATCAACCTTCCTCTTCTTCCTAATTTTTACAACTTTAATTCCACTTCCACTTCAATTCCGACTCCGTTCGGGTCGCTTTCATTACTCTCGAGCGGATTAAAAGTCTGCAACCCGACCATTAAATGCTTGACGTTGAGATATATTGAACGTCAACACGTTAAACAGTTCGTTTTATTGGTTTGAATTTCGTGGTCGGGCTGCCCTATTTAGAATATTAATAATTATGTGAGTTTTTCGATAATCAACTTTAGTGGTGTCTAGCAGAATGTCTCGTGAAATTAGTTGAGGTGTGTTTTTGGTCAAAATATTATCCCGATCAACAAAAATTCAAATGGTATATTTTGAACTACGAGTACAATGAGTAGATGTTGTTCACTTCACAACAAAATTTATGGTTTCTAAATGGCTTAAATGTCTGATAGGGTCGTTACTTCATAAAATTATACTTGCTTTGAACTCACGATCAATGATCGATAACATTTAAAAAAAAAATTGTAGAAATTTTCTCCGTGTCGATAACTCGTTCTTGGATCCCATTATTCAAGTCTCGAAATCATGTTTCCAGCTCCCTATTTGGTCAAGTCTTCAGAATAATAAGCTTAATAGTCGCTATTTCCTCATAAGATTACCAGTTTTACAAGAAATAAATAAAGTATTAATATTGACAGCTCGAGCGTCGAATTAAGACACAACTTGCCCTTTTCCTTACAAATTTCCAAATTAAAGTGGTCTAAATCATATTAAATTTAATTAATGTAAATATAATTACTTTATCTATATAAATTTAATTTGGAGGCATAAATATCATATAGTATAGCATGATTTAATTCGCTAGGCTTAATGAAAAATGAAAAAGCCTAATTGATAAAATAAATAAATGCTGTCGTAGCTTTTTTTCTGTCTCATATTTAATAAAATTTTTATTTTAATCCCTAACTACCCAACCCATTGAAAGAAATATTTATTTATTTATTTATTTTAAATTCAAGATAAGTATAACATTTAATTTAATGCATTAATAATTGAATCATTTATATTCACCTAATTAATAATTTAGGTAATATAATTCACTCGAGAATTAGTCTAAACAAAAAGCTTATAAGATTCTACGATCAAAATAAAGATCATATAGACAGAATCAATAGGTCGACTCGTTTATTTAAATTATAAATTTCGTATTCGAACGTTTTTTAAAATTCTAAAACTATAATTTATACATAATACTCAAATAATTTTTAAATTTTGAATTAGGGGACGAGATATTAAATATAGAATTAGAAGATAATTTGAAATTTTTAAAATTTAAATAAATTGAATCTCAAATTGACCTGATTCTAAACATGATTGTCTCGACTTTCCCCTACATCCTTGCAACGTGACCAAGTAGCTACTTATCTTGAAGTGTTTCTAAGAGTGAAGATCATGTTCACGAACTAACACGGGTCATTTTAGTGTATTCTATTTTAGAAGGTTACTGAACATAGAATCGGTTTGGATTTTTTTTAGCTTATTTTGAAGTGCTTCTAAGAATGAAGATCGTCCTCACGAACTAATACGGGTCGTTTTAGCATATTTTGGTTTAGAAGGTTAGCTAATATAGAATGGGTCCGAATTAATTGAGTTAAATATTTGGTTAGTAATGAGCCAAAATTCTTATATTCCCATGTGAGTTGAGTCAACGGTTTTGACCATTTTTTTTTTTTTTTTTTATGACCAAAACCATAGAAAAGGAAAGGCAATAGCTTTTTCTTTTCCCTAAGAATGGAAAAAATATTAATAGTTGAGGTGATATGATGAAGATGGTAATATTACTAATTATTGAAAATGATGTAATTCTTTTCATGAATTTGTTTTTTTTTTTAAAATATAAAAGACGAGTAATATTTAAGAAATAAATATATTTGTTAGAGCCCTACTGGACCTCCTTCGAACGAAATCGAGAATCTTTGATTAGGAAGGAGAACAAAACATTCTTTATAAGGGTGTGGAAATCTCTCTCCAGGAAACACGTTTTAAAAACCTTCATAAAAAGCTTGAAATGGAAAATCTAAGGAAAATCTAAAGAGGACAATATTTGCTAACGATGAGGCGGGTGGACATGAGGCGATGTACCAGCGAGGAAGCTGAACCTTGAAGGGGGTGGACATGAGGCGATGTACCAGCGAGGAAGCTGAACCTTGAAGGGGGTGGACATGAGGCGGTGTGCCAACAAGGGCATTGGATCCCGAAGAGGAGTGGATTGGGGATCCCATGTTGATTGGAAAAGGGAATAAAACTTTGGTTATAAAAATGTGGAAATTTCTCCCTAGTAAACACGTTTTAAAAATCTTGAGAAGAAGTTGTAAAGGGAAAACCCAAAGAAGATAATATCTGGTAGTGGTGGGTTTTGGTTGTTATTATAGCTTATTGAATCTTTCTCGAATGAAATCGAGAATCCTCGTGTAAACAGGAAAATTGGGTTAGGAAGGAGAATTGTATTCTCGGTCCTCCTCTCAACCCAATTTTAGGAGAAAATATTAGGGAAATCATCACAAAAGTAAATGAAGAAATTTTCGGGGATGGAAATTGAAATAGGTGAATGCAACACGGGCTGCCTCGTGAACATCTCAATAGATAAGACAACCGAAAATTATCAAGATACACTACGAACATGATGATACATAAAACATAGCTCAACTAGTAAAGACGTCGGTGTTTGGTCCGACTATTCCTACACACTTCTGTTTTAAGGGCAGTGTCCAACCACTGAATTACCTTCCTTCTTTTTGCCAAATATCATCCATTCAAAGGCCAAAAGGCTCTGTTCTGTTCCTTCTTTATTCCCTTCCAAATCCATTGTCCCCCACTTCCTCCCTCTCTCTCTCTCCTGTTCTTCTCCGACAAGCCCACTTCTGCAACAAACCCCTCTGTTTTCTCAATCCTTCTCTTTTGCTTCGCTTTTTTGGGATCATCAAAACCCAAATCCCATAACAAAAAATGTGGCTTCCTACCGGAATTTAACCGTCTTTAATGGAGAAGAAGCCATGAATCCCGACGGCGGCGGAGAAGAGCTTAACAAATCTGGCTTGCAGCATGCAAGACGAAGACCCAGAATGGGGATGCAGAGTATTGGTGGAGGTGAGATCTTACAAGTTCCTGGCGGCGGCTGCGGCGGCGTCATTGTCCGAGCCACTGGTCGGAAGGACCGCCATAGTAAAGTCTTCACCGCTAAAGGACTTCGCGACCGCCGTGTTCGCTTATCCGCTCATACTGCTATTCAATTCTACGACGTTCAAGACCGGTTGGGTTATGATCGACCCAGTAAGGCCGTGGATTGGCTAATCAAAAAGGCGAAATCCGCCATTGATAATCTCTCCCACCTCCCTCCTTGTCCCTCTGAACCAGACCCAAATGGAACCGGTGGTGTTACAGAGCACTCTGAGTCTTCTAGGTATAGTGAATTCTTGTTTCAGAGCCACTTGGGTGAAAATTTGATTCCGCCGCCGTTGGATTCCACCGCCGGTTTCCAGAGCTACCAGAATCTTGGGCTGTCTCTGCAGACACAAAATTCGCCCCACCATGATCAGAATCAGACGGGTCTTTACGCCGCCGGTTCCGGGAATTCTGGTCTTGGATTTGATGATGGATTTGAGAAAATTGTGGCCTGGAATAGTAATGTCTTCGGTTCGCATCCGAGTTTCAGTCAGTGCTCCGCCGCGTTCCCGCTGAGGGGGCCCCTTCAGTCCAGCCTTGAATCTCCGGTGCCGCATTACGCTTGGAATGAACTCGCCGTCGACCCCGCCGGCAAACGCCACCCGATTCCTATTCATGATAACTCTTCACCGTCAAGTCCCCGGTTTATATCCAGCGGGTTGCCGCATCTTGACGTCCATGGACGGTTTCAAAGCGACGGCGGGAAAGTTCCGTCTCATTCCTCTTTGTATTCCCGCCGATGATTCGCCGGAACTCAATTTTCTGAATTGAACTCCGTTCCTCTTTGAATCGGAACATTCCAGCGGTAAAATCGTCGAATTTGCCGGCGGTTAGGGTTTTCAGGTATTGCTTCTTTCATTCAATTCGGTTTTTTTTTTTTTTTTTTTTTTTTTTTTTTTTTTTTTTTTTTTTTTTTTTGCTGTTTTTCTGTGTTTTTTTTAGTCCGGCGGCGGAATTGAGGAGGAAGAAGGTGATTTTATGAACTCCATTGTAATATTTTCTGTTTGTTTTCTATAAACTTGATTTTGAGTTCAATTTTATTATAGTTTAGAAGTTTTGAGTGCTATCAGTGTTGTATGTTAACATTAATTAATGGGTAATTTTGTTGTAATTTAGAATCTCGACTTATATGGCGATTATTGTCACATAGACGAACATAACTCTGTGAAACAAGTACGGTTTAAAACTGTTATGAGTAAAAATTAATTAAGTGGTTAAATCTCAAACATCGAAAAACCCGAGTTTAGTGATAATGGGTCAAAAAGGATTCAACTTAAGTTTAATGGACAACCCCATGAAAGTTATGGGTGAACCCTTGAAGGTTCGATTAAAGGTTGAGGAGGTTGAAGCTAAGAATTCGACCAAAAGCCAATCTCAGAGGTTCGATCAAGAGTCTATACAATCATCCCAACAAAATGGCTATATTTAACTGTTAACCTACACAAATTAATCTTAGATTTTTAAAAACTTTAAATAGGTTTATTAGGGGTGGGATTAAGTTAGACGGTCTGCTAACAAGAACGCTGGCTTCCATGCATTTCTTATAAGATTATGGAAATATTTTCTCAATAGACACATTTTAAAACCGTGAACCTAACAACAATATGTAACTAATTAAAATAGACAATATTTTCTAACTATGGGCTTGGGCCCTTACAAATAATATTCAAACCAGACACGATGTCGTATGTTTGGATGTTGAGTCCCCATAGAGTGAATTGTGAGATCCCACCTTAGTGGAAAAATCTTTATTTAGTAGATGCATTTTGAAACCTTAGGGTCGACGGAAATATATTCATAAATTAAATATATAATAAAAGGTAAATTTTGATTATACTACAAACTAAAATCACAAGATAGAAAATTAATAAAAACTAAAATTACAAGATAGAAAATTAAACAAATAGGAGAAATAAATAATTAATTTATACAGGAGGGTGAATAAAATAAAATTAATAGATATATTTAAAAAATATATAAACATATTATGTAATTTTATAATATTTTCTCTAAATAATATTTGGATTCAATTGCCCGGATGGAAAAGGAATATGAAACGACACGTCGTCTAATAGAGTAGAGAGATTTAAGCGATCAATGGATACGTCATGTCGGAACTTCTTGACGTCGACACCTTACCTTGTTTCGAGCCAATTTCAATGGCGATTCCCGCTCTTTCTCCTCCTGAACCTCATTTCGAATACCAAGAAGAAGAAGATCCAGTCTCTCCCGCCCAAAACCCTAATTTCATGGACCAGCAACAACTGGAAGAAGGAGAAGGAGAAGGAGAAGGAGAAGGAGAAGTAGAACAGAACCAGTTTGATCCGCCTCAATCGTCTGAAACCTTAACCCTAGAACTGCCCGATCCCCGACAGAACTCCCCCCAGGAGGATCCGCAAGATCCAGAACTTCAAGTCAATGAAAGTTTCATCAAGGACCACGATCCTAGCGACCAAGGTGAGTCTAATGCTCTCTCTTCTCGAATCATCGATATCAATGCGTTGGTTTCTTCCGCGGTTGTTTCTCGACGGCTTCCGAAGGGGAAGAAGTGGTCGATGAAACGAAGATTCCTTCAGGAGAAATCTCAGAAGAAGCTTGAGATTCTGGTTGGTACTTTCAAACCTATTCCTTTTGTGCCGGATAAAATCCTGGATTTTTCGAGTCACGAGAAGCTGTTGAAGCGATTGGGGTTGTGGGATTTTGTTCATACTAAGTTCGATAGGTCTGTGCGATTTGATCTTCTTTTGCAATTAGTTGCGAATTTTAACCACAGCCAGAGGTATAGTTATGTCAATGGGATCAGAATCATGGTGAATAGGGCTGATTTGGCTCGTGCCTTGCGGTTGCCAGTGAAGAAATCGATGATAATGGAGGATGGTGAGGAATATCCCATAGCATCAGAGGAATCGATCGCCTTTATTGAGGATTTTGTGTCCAACTGGTTACTCTTACACGAAGATACTTGGATGATGCCCAATGAGGCTTTGAATTGGACAAAGGCGATCAAGATTGGGAACTTTGAGCGGGTTGATTGGGCTGGTTTGATTTGGTTTATGGTGGAGAAGGAGTTGATACAATCTCCACAATTGGTGAACTGTTACTATGCTTCACATTTGCAGTGCCTGATCCGGTCACAGCGGGAGGATTTATTGAAGGAAGAAGCATCAAAGGTAGAAGAGGTCGAACTCAAGGAGGAGGTGAAGCAGGAACCAGAGCAAGATCAAGATGAAGAACAGGATGATGAAGATGGGGTTTGTAGTGAGAATCCAAAGATGGTAGGGAACGATGACTTCATGGTTAAGAACTTGGAGGAACACAATGTTGAATTGTGCCTCGGGCGAGACAATGTCGACAAAGTCGACGTTCAAAAGGAGACAGCTAGTGTTGGGGATATGATGGATTTATTGGATAGCAAAGAAGAAGAAGAAGAGCAAGGTCGGTGGCTTTCGAATGGAAATGGCAATGGCCTTGAGCTCTTGTTAAGGAGGTGCCATACAAATGAATTCAAGGAATTTAATTTTGGAGATGATAAGAAAGTCGCATTAGAAGAAGGGGATGATCAAAGAAAGGAAGAACAGGAAGAACAGGAAGAACTGGAAGAAATGGAAGAACAGGAAGAACAGTTCTGCCTGTTGCCAACGAGCAATCCTATTGATGGATTTCCTTCAAGCCAATTTGTTCAAGAAATGGAGACAGAGCCAATCACTTTTAACTCAGAATTTGAATTACATTGTCCTTCATCTGTTGAATGTGTAACTTTTGTTAATAGCAACAAGAGAGGGATTGACCCTGATGATATTGACAACCCAGCTCAGTCTCTCAATAAGAGGTTAAGAAGCGAAGGTCCTCTTGACTATGGTAATTGTATGGATAACTTACAGCAGTGGCTTGATAAAGCTCGGATGATTTCCACAGAGAAAGAGCAGGTTCATCGGCAGGCCACTATGAATCAGCAATGCTTGCTTCTCGAGCTGCAGCAGAGAGACACCTTTATTGAACATTTGAGAAGGACAAAGTTTGAGGAGCAACGGAAGATGCAGTCTGATATTTACAGGCTTGAGCGCGAGCTCTACGTGATGGGAACTTTATTGGATGACTACAGAAAGGCATTGAGGGAAACACACAAAGCATTTGCAGAGTATAGAGCCCGATGCCCACAATTTGATGAACCACTTTACAGAGATGTTGCTGGTTCTGGTGGTCTTGTTCTCAGCACCATGGAACTGGAGAGGATGCGTCTGAAGCAGGCAGAGGAAGACAAACTAAGCCGCTTGGTTATTGAAAAGAGGTTCAAATCCTTGGAAGACAAGTTTGTTGATGTGTTTCATGGACATCTTGAGGAGGTTAGTTCACTGGATAGTAGGCTGCTAGAAGTTTTTGATCAAGTGCAAACCATGAGAATCATTCACAAATAGGAAAGCTTCAGAAGCTTTGGAACCCATTTCAAATGAGTGATGCAAACCCGGGGGCTCTTTGTAACAGCCAAGCCCACCGCTAGCAGATATTGTCCTTTTTGGGCTTTCCCTCAAGGTTTTTAAAACGCATCTGCTATGGAGAGGTTTCTACGCATAAAGTATGTTTTGTTCTCCTCTTCGGGGATGTTAACATGAGATCGTGTATAGTTAAGTTGTGAATAATCAGTGTTCTTTCTAAGATTTTGCAGATTCAAACAGGAAAGGTAATCCATTTTTATTTTCCTGATTCAAATTAATGGGTGTTGTTCTTTATCTGTTGTTGTTGGAGAAGAACAACAACAGATTGAGGGCCATTTACTGAAGAAAGTTGGGCACAAAAAGTAAAGAAGTGAGAAAGGAAAGAGAGAGGCAATACATAAGAGGATAGAAGAATCCTCCTTGTTCTTATGCTCTCTCAACACTCACTTTATTCCAAAACATAATTAAACCCAATGTACCTCTCCTCCCAGTCACCACACCACCTACGATTTAATATCTTGGGAGACCAAAATTTCTTGTTCTCATGTACTCTCTCTGCTGCATATGATCATAAAGATTTGTTCGTAAATAACTATTTAACGTGGTTGAATCTCGAAGAATTTTAATGATTTAATTAAGGATTATTTATTTATTTATTTATTTATATAGTTTTCTTTGTGTTAGCATATTTTAATTGAAAGCCTCTCTTATTATGAATTTGAAAAATGTCCATAGTAACTAAGTTTTTTTTTTTTTTTTCACCATGTGTTTTCAATTATCCATACTATAATATTATAAGAAATTTTCCCAGTTTAAGAGTCAGTGACGTGTATTATTGTAACAGCTCAAACCTATTGCAAATAGATATTGTCCATTTTAGTTCGTTATACTATCAGTCTCACGGTTTTAAAACGCGCTATCAGAGAGAGATTTTCATACTCTTATATAAAAAAAAATGTTTTGTTCCTCTTCTTTAACAAACCTGAGATCTCACAAATTAATCTACCCATAAAAAAATGGGTAACATGTTCAAACACCGTACAAACAAACAAAGGCAGATTCTTTCCTTGTTGCATTAGTGATTGGTTTAGAGTTTGGAAGTTTCTTTTTATTAAAAATAAATAAATAAATAAATAAGGGTTAGTTTGAGTCTCACTTTTCTTGTTTTTTTAGTCTTTCATGGGAATCAGATATTATGGGGATGCCATGCTATCATTGAGGGAGGAATATTTGTTTCTATAAAAAATTATTTTTTTCAAAAAGCATCAATTTACCATTTTACCCTCCTCCCAAGATTTGGACTTCCCATCAGTTAACCTAGTAACCCAACAAATGCTCCAGATGCCATCATTTAACGCTTCCATCAAACCCTCTTTCATTTCTTCACTATTTCCATCTGTTCTTGCAGTTCTCATCAAATCATTCAAATTTAACCGAAACCCATTTTATGAATTCCTAAAGTTTTGATTTTTATACTCCATCCGATCGTTCTTCCCTTTTTATAAGAGCTTTGAAGACGTTTCATATATTATGGATATCCCACGAGAAATTATTCAATGAAACTATAAGTCATGTGGTCGAGTTCCCATGAAATTGAATCAGAAACAGTTTGAATTAATGGATGGCTATTTCGTAGTTATGAGCATAAATGAGGTTATTATGTGTCAGGAAACTCCAATTCAGAGAGAGGAGAGAAGGAATAAGGAAGAAGCTTCTCAACTACAGCAAAGGAAGCCTTGGCGTTGGAGGGTTTTGCCTTTGCATATTATTCCTCTTCATTTTTTTACCTCTTGCTTTTGCCGTTCCCTTTATATCTCTATACTTTACCTTCTTCTTCTTTGTTCTGATCGTCTCTTCCTCGACTGATAGCAGCTCTGACTGTGGCGAAAAGCCATTACAATGGCTGACATTACTCACCCTCCCATGGAACAACTCCAAGACCTTGAGTACTGCATAGACTCCAACCCTCCATGGGGTAAACCCTTCTCCCCCTTTTCATTTCGCCGCTTACTTTTTTACAATTTTCATGTTCTCTCTGTCATCTGAGAATCGTTTGCGAAAATGATTCATTAGCCTACATCTACGAGTAATTTCGTGGAAAGGCTTGGTTCGTTTTAAGTAAATGATAGCAATGGTTGATTCTGCGATCGAGTTTTCACTCCATTTTTGTATTGGTCTCTGTTTTTTGTTCCATTGTTCTTGTTTCTTTTGGCTGGAATAAAAATGGTACAACTGGAGGTTGCTTGGGGTTTGTTCGACGGAATGTGGACTCCAAATTTTTGTTCATTGTTTTGTTGCTGAGATTATCTTAAAAGAAATGGAAAGGAATTCTGACAAATGTCTTAACATTCCAAGTTTCTAAACCTTTGTTCTTTGTATGCTAAATTGTAATCCATCTTTCAAATTTCAAATTGATCGATAAGTGCTATTAACCCATTTGATGATTTCTGATATACACTGATAAATCTTCGTGAAAGCTCTGTATTTCTTGACAATCAGTCGCACCATACCTTGTAAAATCTGATAGATAGTATCCGCTTTGGCACGTTACGTATTGTCATCAGTCTCACGGTTATAAAATGCGTCTGTTAGAGAGAGGTTACTTTGAGACTAGCGTCCTTGTTGGCACACTGCCTCGTAACCACCCTTTGGGGATTAGTCTCATCGCTGGCACATTGTCCGGTGTCAATGATACCATTTGTAACAACCTAAGCCTACTACTAGTAGATATTATCCTCTTTGAGCTTTCCCTTTCGGGCTTCCCCTCAAGGTGTTAAAAATGTGTCTACTAGGGAGAGGTTTTTACACACTTACAAGGAATATTTTGATTCACTCTCCACCTGACGTGGGATCTCAAACTAGCACTTTTGTTCTTATTGCTATCTCCCTTAGCCCATGTTGTGAAACAAAAGTAAATGGACGTGCTGAATGATCAGATATTGTTGCTTTCTGCTCTTCGTTTCGAATTTATAAAACAGTGTTGTTTTGCAGGTGAAACGATACTACTAGCTTTTCAGAATTACATTCTGATGCTGGGCACCAATGTGATGATTCCATCCTTAATTGTCCCTGCAATGGGTGGAGATAATGTAAGCTAGTTCTTGTCGTTTCGTTCCGAGTTCATTCCCTTAGAAGTTAATCTTTGTTTGACCTTTTTATTTCTCGAACGTTCAGGGTGACAAAGCACGAGTTATACAGACGCTTCTTTTCGTAGCTGGCTTAAACACGCTTCTTCAAGCACTTTTTGGAACTAGATTACCAGCAGTAGTTGGAGGCTCCTTTACCTATGTTATTCCAATAGCTTACATTGTTGGTGACTCTTCACTGCAACGGATTACTGATAATCATGAAGTAAGCCTCTGAACTTCATCTATCTTAGTTGTTAGGGACAGAGGAGCCATGTTTTCGAAAGATTTTCTTGATATTGTTCTTCACTTGATAGGGTATTGAAAGAGATCTTCCCATGTGATTCGTTTGCAGAGATTTTTACATACGATGCGAGCTATCCAAGGAGCTCTTATTGTAGCATCCAGCATACAAATCATCCTCGGTTACAGCCAAGTTTGGGGTTTACTTTCACGGTACGTTATTTCAACGAAACAACTATACGAAGTTTTGTGTCACTTATCAATTGTGAGATCCCACATTGGTTGGAGAGAGAAACGAAACCTTTCTTATAAGGGGGTGGAAACCTCTCCCTAGTGGAAGCGTTTTAAAACCTTCAGAGGAAGCCCAGAAAGGACAATATTTGCTAGCGGTGGGCTTGGGCTGTTACAAATGGAATCAGAACCAGACACTGAGGAGTGTGCCAGCTAGGACGCTGGTCCCCAAGGGGGTGGATGGTGAGATCTCACAATGGTTGGAGAGGGGAACGAAACATTCCTTATAAGGGTGTGGAAACCTCTCTCTAGCGGACACGTTGTAAAATCTTGAGGGAAGCCCGGAAGGGAAAGCCCAAAGAGGATAATATCTGCTAGCGGCGGGTTTGAGCTGTTACATCAACGTTGTTGATAATTTTATTGTCTTATGTGTGCAGATTCTTCAGTCCATTGGGCATGGCGCCTGTTGTTGGATTGGTCGGCCTCGGGTTGTTTCAACGAGGATTTCCCGTGGTATGTTCTTCGGGAGAAACGTATTGTAGTCTCTGGTTTACGTCCCGAACCCTTCCCCATTATCATGTCCTTAAAGATTTTAAGGAAAAAAATTCTTTTTCAGCTGGGAGAATGTGTGGAAATTGGTTTACCAATGCTGATACTGATCATTGGACTATCACAAGTAAGTTCTGGTTATTTCTTTTGGAGTCGGCCTGCCTTGGTATATTCATTACTTTATTAACCGGGCGAGCATCGTGCTCGTGAAACTGCAGTATCTAAAGCATGTGAAACCCTTCAGAGATCTTCCCATTTTTGAGAGATTTCCTGTGTTGATCTGTGTCACCATTGTTTGGATCTACTCTGTTATCTTAACTGCAAGCGGGGCTTATCGGAACAAGCCGATAAAAACCCAACTGAGTTGCCGAACCGACCAAGCGAATCTTATTACTACTGCCCCGTGGTGAGCTAAAGCCTTCACTGTTCTTGATATTGGCTTTATAAGATGCTGGTTGTATATAAACATGTCTGCTGTTTCAGGTTTAAGTTTCCATATCCTTTGCAGTGGGGGCCTCCTACCTTTTCAGCTGGCCATTCATTTGCTATGATGGCTGCTGTTCTTGTTTCAATGGTTGAGGTATTCTCTTGAATGAACTAATTGATCAAAACTTGGTGTGTCTTAAAGTTGTTACTGATTCTGAAATCTTCGTTACAGTCGACCGGGGCATACAAGGCAGCGTCTCGTTTGGCAATTGCTACTCCTCCTCCTGCATACGTTCTGAGCCGTGGCATTGGTTGGCAGGTAAGCTCGGTTAACCTGGTTGCCTAATGTGTCGAGGAGTTCCTTGTGCACGAAACTGATCGAAATGAGGATTTGGAATACTGTCTTCGTAGGGGATCGGCGTCTTGCTGAATGGTCTCTTTGGAACAAGCACTGGTGCTACTGTTGCTGTGTAAGGACTTTTATAGTTTATGAGTGTCCTACTTGTTGTGTTCTTCCGTTTTCGGATGAAAGTGAACTCGACCAATGTTGCCATCGTGTGCTACAGGGAAAATGTGGGACTTCTCGGGCTTACCCGTGTCGGAAGTCGAAGGGTCGTCCAAATTTCTGCTGGCTTCATGATATTTTTCTCTACCTTGGGTATGTAATAACGTTCGTAACTCTTTTGGATACTTGAGTCCCAATATCAGTGTATCGAAACGTTTTCTGAATCGAGTTTCTGATATCATCTCTTGCAGGTAAGTTTGGAGCTGTTTTTGCATCCATACCTATCCCGATCTTTGCTGCAACCTACTGCGTTCTCTTCGGCCTCGTCGGTACACACCAAAACTCAAACCAATTTCGTTCGTTCATTCACGTGCCACATTACACTCGTGTTTGCTTTTTTCAGCTTCAGTTGGATTATCATTCCTCCAGTTCACAAACATGAATTCAATGAGAAACCTGATCATCACAGGACTCTCATTGTTCCTGGGATTATCCATTCCCCAGCTATTCAACGAATACTGGAACCCAGCTCGGCGAGGTCTCGTTCACACAAACGCGGGATGGGTAACTCCCTTAACCACAAACGCGGGATGGTTCGTGTTTATAGTGTCTAATTCATTTGGTTTGATTTGGATTTGCAGTTCAATGCATTCCTGAACACAATATTCTCATCGCCGGCAACAGTGGCATTGATAGTGGCAGTGTTTCTTGACAACACGTTGGAAGTAGAAAAATCAAAGAAAGACAGAGGAATGCCATGGTGGGTGAAGTTCCGAACGTTCAGAGGAGACAACAGAAACGAAGAGTTTTATACTTTGCCCTTCAATCTCAACCGTTTTTTCCCGCCAACTTAGAATTTCAAATCCCTTTACCTTTCTTCTTCTTCTGATTAACAACAACAACAAAAAAAAAAACCCTAGGGGGCGGCTAATCTCGATCATTTTTTTGTCGTTCATTACATTTTTTGTGGACAATTTGTAAAGGGCTACGGGTGATCGTCGGTAATTTGATCCATGCTTTTGTAGAAAGCAATAAAATAAGTAGGAATTTAGGGTTTCTTCGTCGGAAATTAGGGTTTGTTCATGGGAAATTAGGGTTCTTCGATATCACGAGGAGCTTTGTTTAGCGACATTATTGGGAAACCAGAGTTCTTTCCAGTCGATTCAAGTTTGGCTTTCTCGTTCAACATTGAACATTGAAATTTGTCAACTCCCTTGTATATTTCCATAATTATGTTTTTTTTTTTTTAAATGGTCTATAAATACTATTTTCTATTTATTTTCGAGCCATTGATAAATAATATAATATTATAGGTTACTAATATAGTTTCGGTAAAGATTAGGATTCGACAAGTTTCTGGTCTGGATTGCGGAACTCTTGCTCGCCGAAGAGATAAGAGTGGATTGTCAAGTTAGACCAAACCTCAAACTAGGATTTTGCAGGGACTTTCCCAGATCATTCATGATCTTATTCCTAGAATGGAATGGCATAATGCTCGACAGAATCTTTCTCAGATCATTCATGATCTTATTCCTAGAATGGAATGGCATAATGCTCGACAATTCTTGCCAAAATCTTAGAAAAGGATGTAACAAAGTTTCGATCTTAGAAAAGGATGTAACAAAGTTTCGATTGGTTAATAACATAGGAGGTAAGTTGGGAACAACGGATTTAATTATATATATAAACTTATTCATTTTATTTTAATTTTATTGAATTGTTTATGTGGTTTTGTGGACTAAATTCTATTTAAAAAAAAAAAGAAATTATAAATAAATCTCCTAATAAATAAATCCGGCGATTTAAATATTTTAGAACCAATTTGGAGGCAAAGCCAAGCCAAGCCAAGCCAAGCCTGGGCTTGTGGCTGATTAGGATTACTGGTAGAACGTGGGATGGCAGCTTGAACTTGAAGTTTGAAACTTAGAAGTAGAAGAGGCCGGCAGCTGCATTTCAAATTCCCCATCTCTTCTCTAATTCTCAATCTGTGAATTGAGAATTAGAGAGTTTGAGCTATAAAATTTCAGCCGCGTTCTGCTTTGCCTCTGTCCAAGATTGTCCGAGTGTGTTCCAATGTCGATGGGAAGCGACACCACTTGGGTTGGAAAGAAACCTCTTAGGCGAATCGGAGGGATGTCCGATGCCCTCTCAATTGCCGCCGATCTTGGTTTCTCTGTTGCTCCGCCGCCGTCGCAGGTTACCGATCATCCTCTCTCTCTTTCTCTGTTTATAAGTTTAATGTTTCATGGGTAGATCTTCCATTTTTCGCTCTTCCATTTTTCGCTCTTCCAAGTTGCTTGTATGTGTACTCGTGATCCAACTAGGTTTAAGCCATTAAACCTGTGGCGACATTCTGTGTTATATATGGGATGTAAATCACTTGAAGTTTGAAACCCTTGCCTGGTTTTGAATATCTTTAAGTGGTTCATAGGTAATGTGTGTAGAGCTCTTGATTTGAATTCTTTGGGCCACCTTTTGAATTGGGGACATAGGTCAGCACCTCAGGGAAATTAGTCCTAGCTTCGATTTCAATTCATATAGCCGAATTTGGTAAAGTTATATATATATATATATATAATGCCTGCTTCGTAATTGAATGTTAGCCTTTCATTGGGTGTCCGTTTTGAGTGAGTTATTTCCTCCACGCTTTCGTTTCCTTGAAGCAAAATTCAACACCCAAGATAAAGATGCACACTCATCCATGTGAAATATTCATCTTCATTGAAGCTTTTTGGTAGTAGTTGTGACCAATAGTCATTAGCTGACCCGAACCTGGGTGATCTATCCATGATTAGGATGAAACTTGGGTGAAACTAGGTGGAAATCTGAACCAACTAATGTTGAAGAATCATCGGACTCTTCGTGGAATGAGCTTATAGATATCCCGTTTGGGCATTACATTCCCTAAAATTTTGAATATATCAAGAAACCATGTGTGGGGTTCTTTGGGACGGGTGGAAGTAAGGAATCTAGGAATGCAAGGGGTCTTAATCAACCCATCGGGCTTCAATTTCTTATCTGGAAGATTTGGGAAATCAAGGCCTCGATAGTGTTCTTTTGAAGAACATTACCTCATTGATGTTTATGACTATTTATACAAGTTGTATTTATAATCATTGTTACATTAATGGAATCATGACTCAATCATGGAGGATCATCCTCCTAAAACAAAAGAAATAACTAAAATAGAAATGAATGTAGAGTCTTTACAACCATCGCTACATCGCGCCCTGACTCAATCATGGAGGATCATCCTCCTAAAACTAGGAAAATAACTCAAATGAGAAATGAAGGTGGTGGACTCCTCCTTACAATACGGAAACTGAAAACAAAATTGCATGAAGGAAAATTCAACCAATGGGTTCCATACACGACTGCTTCTTTCTGCCATGAGTGTAATGTGTGTACACTTATAGGACTATGTTAATTCTTACGCATTAAAGATATTTCAATCTCAAAGTTTAATTCTCTCTTTCAGTTTTCTCCTGGCTTGTTGTTGTGGATTATTTGAGATCTCCAGTTTAATATTCTACGTTGTAACTTAGAATTTGAAGCTTGATAAATTGAAAATTCAAATGGGCTAATCTGTCTCTTTTAGGAAGAACTACAAAATATATCTTCTGCTACTGGTGAAAAGGGTGATGATCTTATTAGAGTTCTACGAGAACTTACTGCTGTTCAAAGGAAAATAGCAGATCTTCAAGTGGAACTTCAAGGCCGTAAGGTGCGTATCCTGCGTCAAAACAAGATAAAACGATACTCGTTCATCGTTCATCGTTAATTTTTATGTTTTCTATATCTGTTTGGAGTTCATTATTCTACTAAATGAATTGAAATATGATTTCCTTAGGATGACAAGAATGTAGCTCATTTGACCCATGTGAGTGAAATGGAAAAGAAGATTGAGACTTTATCAAGGATTACTACCATATTGAAAGATGTCATTCAGAATAAGGTGCTTTCTTGAACTAACCCTCTCAAGTTTGCATATTCTTCCATCTTGTCTTGGATTTGATTCATGATGCTTGTGTTTTTAACCATTTTTCCCCTTATAACTAACCTTCAAGAGGGGAAGAACCTCAACTAAACGGTATCGCTTACGGGTTATTATGTTGGTTTAAAGACTCCATTTGTATTCATTTCACGTTAATTCTCGATTGCTTCGATGCCCCAATTCATCAGTTGCACCTTCTGATTTCTTTATAAAAACTGAGGCCTTTATTATGTAAAAGTATTAATGCTTTTAGGGCTTGAAATGTAGTAGGTTTATCTAGAGACTTTCTGTGAGATCCCACGTCAGTTGGGGAGGAGAATGAAACATTCTTTATAAGGGTGTAGAAATCTCTCATTAACAGACGCGTTTTAAAAACATTGAGGGAGGACAATATCTGCTAGCCCACACTTGGTGATGTGCTAGTGAGGAGGCTACGCCCCGAAGGGGGTGGACACGAGGCGGTGTGCCAACAAGGACGCTGGGCCGAGAAGAGGGTGGATTTGTGGGTCCCACATCAATTGAATAAGGGAATGAGTGCCAGTGAGGACGTTGGGCTCCGAAGGGGGGTGGATTGTGAGATCCCACATCGGTCGGGGAGGAGAACGAAACATTGTTTAAAAGGGCGTGGAAACCTCTCCCTAGCAGACGTGTTTTAAAAAACTTCGAGTGGAAGCCCGAAAGGGAAATCTCAAATAGGACAATATCTATTAGAGGTGGGCTTGGGTTACACTTTCTATATGCTTTTTTTGTTGCTCGTCCTTACATTGACGGGGACCTAATTTGTGAAGATGATTGCTGTATTCTCAAGGATATGTCATGGATCCCTTGAGAGAAACTTAGCCAAGAATTTGTAGGTCATTTAGTGATTGGGAAAGTAAGTGCCGCCTGCTCTGTTAAAAGTGAACTTGCCTGGCAAAAAAAGGTTTTCAATTGCTTAAGCTTTTCCTTTGCTGCATGTTGACGATTTGACCGTCATGACCGCTACTAAAGTCATTACCTCATTCTCCCACTCTTTTTACCTTTTATGGATATATGCGTTCTCACGTCGATTTGAGAGGGGAACAAAGCATTCCTTATAAGGGTGTGAAATTCTTTATCTGATGGACGCATTTTAAAACCTTAAGGGAAAATCCAAAAGGGAAAACCCAAAGAAAACAATATCTACTAGCGGTGAGCTTGGGCTGTTACAAATGGTATCAGAGCCAGACACGGGCCGTGTGCCAGCGAGGATGTTGGGCCCCCAAGGGAGATGGATTGTGAGATCCCACATCGGTTGAAGAGGGGAACAAAACCTTCCTTATAAGGGTGTGGAAACCTCTCCCTAATGGAAGCATTTTAAACCTTGAAGGGAAGCTCAGAAGGGAAAGCTCAAAGAGGACTATATTTGCTGGAGATGGACTTGGACGGTTACGGGATACCTTTTTGCCTTGGCCCTAATCAAGTATTATAACCGGATGCAGATACTTGTTCGTTTCAACTTGTATTTGATAGAAATGTCTTAATCTTGAGCGTGCATGACTCAAATGCCATGATCTTATACCCTCCTTTCCTCATTTCCAAATATTGCAGGATCGTATTATAGCTCGTCTTCAGCAACCATATTCGCTCGATTGCATTCCAGTGGAAGCAGAATTTCAGGTTTGTTCATCAACAAAACGCTCACCATTCTTTTAAAATCTATATCTAAATCATTCCTGACGTCTGAGAGAACTTGATTTTATAAACATCCCTGAAAATGGCACATGAAATGCAACCAAAACATGAACTCTAATACTTCTTTTTTTTCTTTTCCAAAAACCATTGGATTGATCCATCTAAAACAGCCAAAACTAGAACAGCTCACCATTCCATATACTTTTGTCTGTTTCAAAGACAAACTCTTCATCATGAATTCATGACCATGTGATCAAGTAGTGATATGAAACTTGAAATCGGCGTGGCATTGTTTGTACTGTCTGATTTTGATAAGATTTAGATTCTGCACATCTCTAAATACTCGTTTTTGCATATCCGAATCAAGTTTGAAAGAAACTGCTCGGGAGTTAACCGATCATGTGACTTACTCTGCAGAAACAATTTTCGGAGTTATTAATGAAGGCTGCAAGTGATTATGGAGCTTTAACAGCTTCAGTTGCAGACTTCCAATGGAGTCAGAACTTTAAGGAGTCGCCTTCAGTGTGGGGGGTAAACCTTATACTCATCCTTTTCTGGT